GATATCCATAAACCAAGCATTTGGTGTTGAACTAAAGATTTTTACCATGAGTGCTTTCTTTGTTGCTTTAGAAACATAGGGGTCCTTGTTTGGATTCGTCATTTTTTACCCATAAGAAATGGGTTTATTTGGCGCATTAGCAGGAGTTGCATCCAGATTTTTGCCCGCAGTGGGAACAATAGCCAGAGGTGCATTTGGAATTGGAAGGAAGATTTTGAGTACATTAGGTATACTGAAAGAGAAAGCACAACCTATTATACAAACTGTACAGAAAGGTTGGGAGGTAGCACGAGATGCAGCAAATCTTATTCCAAATCCTGAAACAAGAGGAAAAGTTCAAGGATGGATGGACAATGTAGGAAGACAAGCAGGAAACTACTATAACAAAGCAAATGACTACTATAACCAAGCAGGGCACTATATGGACCAAGGTGAAAGATTCTTTAACAGAGGATATAACCATGCACAACAATGGGTAAACAACAACCAACCGCAACCACCTCAAACGTGGGGAATGTAAATTTTTTTACTGAGATGAAATGAACAATACAGCATTGAGACAAATGGGTTCAAGATGGATTTGTCGACTTCCAGCAGTTACACAACCACGTGTTTGTCAAGTTCTTCCTATACCTCAGGAAGTTTTAGACCGACTTAAAAAACCTAAACAACCAGTTGAAAACAAACCAAACTAAAATTTTTTACTGAGATGAAATGACCGAAGAAGTTGAAACGGTAGATTTGACACCACAAACAAAAAGTTCAGAACCATTGTCAAAACCTGTCAAAGAACTTACAGATGAAGAGAAAAATTCAATAATAGAAAGTGCCAGGTCTGGAAATACAAACCCTAACTAAAGTCACTTTTCATAGAAATGGAACGGCTAGTATCTCAAAAAAGAAACAGACTCTCACAAATAAAATATTGAAGTCTGAAGGAGCTTTCGAGACAACAGATGGAAAAGTTTACTTCACTGACCAACAGTTCATTATAGAACATCTCATTGACTTAGAGTCGAAATATTCTAAACTTTACAACAAACACAAAAAGTTGAAAGGAAAACAAAAACAAATGGCATATGATATTTATGAAGATGTTGACGACACAACTACCTGCAAGTGAGTAAAGTCAGAGGAACCGAAAAGTGACGAAAAACCGATAGAAGAAGGTGAGCCAAAAACTGAAGATAAACCAAAACCAAAGGTTAGTTTCCAAACTAAACCAAGTCAACCTTCATTAGCTGGTATGGGTTGGCGTCAAAGACTTATGGCAGCAGGCGGTTATGTAAAGTAAAGAAAAAAAACATTTTTTTATTTTTATAAAAATGCCCCCATATAAATGGATAGAAGGTCTGCTAGAATAAAAGCAGAGTTAGAAAGATATGGTTGGAAAGTTTCAAAGAAGTTTAAATATAGGAAGGGAAGACCCATAAAAGTCTATGACAAACTGGCTGGTCTGACCTATGAAATGGACTTGGAAACAGCACGCGCAAATTATCCAAACAGGTAGAGAGGTTAGAAGAAGAACGTCTTATGGACATGCCTTTCGATGTTTGAGCCTCAAGTTGAAGGACACGACGGCTTTGCCAGATTCTACTGGAAACATGACGAACAATTGCATCCTTTGAGAAGGAAAAAAGGAAGGTGAAGACAAACATGCTCCCATGGAAAGAACAAGATATGCATATGAGAAGTATCGTGAAGTTAGAAGTCAAATTACATCTGGTCGAACCTTTACAGTAAACTTTGACGAAGGAAAGAACAAAGAAGGCTTCATGGGTACTTGCTGCAATTCAAGACGGAAATAAGAAAGGATACAATCTCAGACTAACCGTAACAGATTTGGATCACATTTACTATGCACATGGCAATGTCACAACAGCCGCACAACTTCTTGACGCTTTCAAGACTACAAAGAGAGAACAAATGGTTGACTCCGACTCAGACATTTTGAATGCAATTGAAGGAATTGCAAGTGTAAGTTCGAATGGTACCAACCTAACCCTCAAGCAGTCAGACAACATGCTGGATACTTCCCGTTCATAAATAAGTCTGACATTGACTTGACAAGGTATGGAATTTACAATTCAATTGAAACAATTGTCAATGAACCTTGTATTCTTACATGTCTCAGGAACTCTGGTCTTGTTACAGATGAGAAGATGAAGTATCTTGAGTCATGTGTGAAGACAAGGTACATTCTCAGAGGTCAATTGGCAAAAATTGCACCGTTGGCAAATGTCAATATCCGAGTCAACATTCCGACTGAGAAAGGTTCTTCACATGACGACTATGTTGTTGACAAAGACTTACCATGGTTGAAGATTGTAATTGTCCACAACCACTTCATGTTGAACGAAAGTCTTACAAACCCATTGTTCGGAAAAGGCAAGTGCAACATTGTCAGAGCTGTTAACATTCTTTTCGAGAAAGGTTTGTTGGAACCAATTCCAGATGACAAGCTGACAGAAACTTTTGTACCAAAAGACGAAACAAACTTTTCATTGTTAGCAAGACCAAAAGTTGTTCCAGACAAAGTTATAGCACAAAAGAAGTACACTGTTCCAAAAGGAGTTGGATTGTTCGGATACCAACCTGAACCAGAAGAACTTCCAATGAGGTTGCAAGAACTTCAAGATGCTATAAACAAACTTCCATTGAGACATCCAATTGACGTCAAATTGTATTGGAGAGCATCGAGTTAGGTCAGAAGGTTTTATATGAAACAGGTTGCTTCGACGATGTTTATGAGATAACAGGAGAAGTTTCTCAGAAGATAAGAGACTCACTTGAATTTCCACGAACTGGACCCATTGGTTGCGACAAGTTCGACTCAGATGAAAAGATATACTATGTCGACCTTAACGCTGCGTACATGAGGTTCGTCCAATATATCCCGACTGGAATTCCAAACGAAGATGGTGAGTTCCCAGGAAGGAACTATACAGTTGGAAAAGTCATACAACAACTGTATGATATTAGGAAAGCTTCAAACCCCAAACTTGCAATGACACTCAAATTGCTTATGAATTCGACATGGGGATATTCCATTAAGAAACCTCAAGAGATGAAGAGTAAACACTATGAGAAGGTCGACAACTTTGTTGAAAGGTTCTCCTTTTGTTTTGAAGTACGAATTCACTCAAGGTCAAAGTGGCTTAGTAACCACATTAAAACCTATTGTCGAACATTGGTCTTACCCTCAGTTCGCAAAGGCAGTCCTTGACAACTACAACAAATTCTTCTCCGAAGTCAAATCCAAAGTGAAGGTTTACTATGAGAACATTGACGCACTCATGACGAACGAAGAAGGCTACAACTCATTGAAATGGGAATGGTCGGTGAAAAGATGGGTCAATTCAAATTGGACAAAATTTTCACCGAAGTTCATGTCCTCTCCAAGCGTAAGTACTGGGGTACTTGAAGACGGCGAAATAAAACATTGCATGAAGTAAAAAATTTTTATTCGAATTTGAATCGGACAGGTCGAGTTACACCATTCTTGGTCTCAAACTCATATATAACCTGTTTGTTTATTTTCGTCGACTATGGCACGAGACACGAACATTGACCAAACGGACAAAAAGTGTCATTTCAGATGGTCAGCAGCCAATCGCATTCGAGCACTTCGAAGAAGCCTTACGTTCCAAGGGAGAGGGTGTCTGGTGCAAGGCAGAGGTCATGAGACTCTACGAGCAGTACATCCTCAATGCCTGGGAGGACAAATCGTCCTTGGATTGGCAATTCTACCAACTCCTCTGGGACGACCTCCTACGCAACTGGGATGACGAAAGAGTCCAATTCAAGGTCGGAACTAATTGTCCAAATTACCTTAATTTAAGCTACTTACCAAATAAACACCTAAATTTACTTGGGGTTTCCCCCTAAAATAAAATTTTTTTACTCTTAGAACCACTCGAGGTTCTCCTTACGGTTGTTGAGCTTGTCACCGTCAATGTGTCTGACCTCGTCTTCTTGTCTGGATTTGGAACCCATTGATACGACAAGCTTCCCATGGAAATTGAACCGTAATTCCGAAGGGTAAGGTTCAAGTGTCCCAAGTTGTTGAGGACTGGGGTAAGAACCTTGCCTGTCTCCTTGTTGCGGATTTGGTATGGGTAGGGTTGGGAAATTTCGTAAGTGTCATCGGCAACAAGGGTTGCCCAAACTTCCTCTTCTTCGTGTTTCTCTTCTTCCTCTTCTTCTTCTTCCTCTTCGTGTTTCTCTTCTTCCTCGACAATTCCTTCTTCAATTCTGTGTTCACGAAGTACGGTGTTGCATGTTCTGTCCTTTCCGAGTACCTTCCAGATGGCGTCTATCTCTTCGAAGAAACGGTAGATGAGTCTGGCAAGGTCTCGGTTCTCTCTCGCGTAAATGCGCAAGGTTTCCGTCAAATCATTCAGGCATTTCTCATTGGAAGCTTGGTTCATGAGGACATCGGCTTTGAGCTTGGTCATCTCTTCCATAAGACTACTTTGGAGAGTCTTAACGGTGTTTGTCAGATGAGCTTTCAATTCAATTTGAATTTGAACTGGGCGCTTTCTGGCAACCTTGAAAGGACATCTGCCATTGAGTTTGGCTTCGGTGCTTGTTCGGACATCGAAAAAATGAAGTGGTTTGAGAATGACGGTTTTACTTCAAAAAGCTTGTTATGACAGTTATGTCATACAACAAGTTTAAAATAATATCTTGTTCTTCTTCTGAACGTTTGTTGTCTCTTCCGATAAAAGTTTCGAACATGAGAACCAAAAAACGTTTTTTGAGATTGCGGAAGAGTTCAGGCAAACGTTCATATTCTGGATATGTTGGGAGCAGTTCAAAACATCTGAGCTGACTTTCGGACAAAATTGGGACAATGTCAGAAAATTCATCTTTGGTCGGACTGCTTGAAGGTAAGTCCCTTACATGTAAGTAGCTCTGGTAAAGTCTTCTCATTTCTGCTAACTTTTGGAGTATAGCTTCGTAGTTTAGAAGTTTTAATTTTAATTGTCTTATTCCACTCTTTACTTCTAAACGGTAACTATCCATGAGGTCAAGAGTAGCTTTGGTAGCTTTAAGTGGAGCTATCTGTTCCTTGACTCCTGCAATTTTGGTTGCAATTGTGGTTTGAGCTCCTTCAAGTTCGCCGTCTATGTCGTTCTCAACGCCTTCAACCATGGCTTGAAACTCTTCATCGGTCCATTGAGATTGGTGTGGGACGAATTTAACTTGCTTCATTCAAAAAATGAAAAAAATGTTTTTACTCAAAGCGTGCCATGTATATGGCTATAAGAAACTTACCAGAAGGCTTCTTCTTCACATGAGTCTTTGGCAACTTGAGTGTTGGTGTTGGAGTTGGGTCTGGAATTTCAATTCTCTCTCGAGCGCAACAACAGATGTCAGAATAACATTCCCCACTGTCTTTCTTGCCACCATAAATTGTGTATTGACCGAACTTGCATTTGCAGGAAGACCGGTCAATACAAGGTTCACAGTTGAAATAGTTGTACACAAACCTGTTGAGTACGAGTGTGAGTAAAAACATAAAAAAAAGTGAAGTTAAAATGAGATGTTTACTGAACTGGCTGAAGAATTGGTTGGATGTCGCCTTCTGAGGTTATGAAGAACGGCTGTCCAGAGTAGTGAAGTAGTGCTCTGAGAATTTGTGTAATTCGTGGAATTGGGCTCTCACGATATGGAAGTAGTATCCAAGGACGTTTCATGAAGAACTTCAAGAGGGCTTCTTTCTTCACATCCTTAATATCATCGAATGCAGTGCCTTCTGGAACTTGAATTGCAACACCTGTTTCAATTTCCAACTTTAAGACACTATTCTTGGACAACCAGAAGCCAATGGACTTGCTTGGTTTGCACTTGCTGAGATATTCCTTCACGGTTTCATTTACCTCAATTAGATAAATTGCTTCGTCTAAGGGGTCAAGCTCCATACTGAGTCAGTACAATATTGTACTTTTTCAAGACAATGTTGTACTTTTTCAAGACAATGTTGTACTTTTTCAAGACAATATTGTACTTTTTCAGAACAATGTTGTACTTTTTCAGAACAATGTTGTATAAATTCAGTACAATGTCTCTCAAATTTGAGTACAGCTGTACTTTTTCAGAACAAGTCTTGAACTTTTTCAGAACAATGTTGTACTTTTTCAAGACAATGTTGTACTTTTTCAAGACAATGTTGTACTTTTTCAAGACAATGTTGTACTTTTTCAAGACAATGTTGTACTTTTTCAAGACAATGTTGTACTTTTTCAAGACAATATTATATTGTTTCAGAACAAAGACGGTTAAGACACAAACGAATGTCCGACGTCCCACCTACTGAACCCGTTCCACAGCCAGAGGAACAGCATGCTCCAGCACCACAACAGTCTCCTCAGCAACCTCAGTTCCAACAAGGACCTCCGAATTACTACCAATTTCCACCTCAAGGTTACTACCCACCACAAGGCTTTCCAAACTACCCACCACAAGGCTTTCCAAACTACCCTCCTCAACCCATGCCTTACTTCCCTAACCCTTGGATGTTCATGTCAAACCCTCCACCCCAATTCCAATCTCAATCCCAATCGAAGAGAGACCAAGAGTTCGAAGAAGGTCTGAACCGTTTACGCAAAGAGTATGCCACAGCCCCTATGGAAGATGACAGGCTTTCAGTCTCTTCCCTAAGGTCGACCAATTCGACTCGTACCACAGATTCGGTTCGTGACCGTGAAGACTACCTCAAGCAGTCTGAGAGACTCTTCATCTTACAGCCATTTACAGTTGGAGCTCTCAAGAACATGCGCAATTACGAAGGTCAGACACCAGCTGGAGACCGCAAAACAGACGTACTCGCAAGAGCAGTCCAACTGGTCAAGACAAAGACTGAGATAGTCGACTTCATTCTTGCAGCTTGCCCATACAAGTAAAAAAATAAACAATTACGAGTTAAACTTTTTACTCTTTCTTTTCTGAGTTGTTTAGAGCTGGTTTCTCTTGTAGAAACCTTTCGTACTCTTCCATGGTCATGTAATTGCGAATTTGGTACGCAATTCCAGGTTCGTTGTTTTTGAACCTTACGTATGTAACGCTTCCATCCTCCTCAGGGAAGTAAGCTGCTAACATCTGACCAAGTTTTCTCGGTGACTCGGAGCTCATAAAAATGTCACTTTTTAAACGTTAAGTTTTTAGTCTTATTTTACCCTTTGTTTACCCTTTGTTTGTCAAGGTAGTATTGGAGTGCAATTTCTCCAAATTCTCTGTGTCGGAGTTCTTCAGCATTTTCCAAGGTGTACCTGGAGAACTCAAAGAAGTTGTCAAGAAGATACTGCCATGCTGCTCTTCTGAGTTCGTCGGTATTTTGGAAGTGTTGCACCTTCGAGTCTTCGGACATGAAAAAATGACACTTTTTCTATTAAACCGTTTTGGCATTTCTCATGAGTGAGTATAGTTCTCCGAACCATTGGAAGAGAAGAAGTACCCTTGCTGGCAAAAGACAAAAATAGTTGCCTTAGTTGTCATTGCAATTGTACTCGTAATTGAATTCATTGTACTTCTCTTCACGTACATAAAACTCAAGGACGGCATATGCTTTAAGAAGCTACCATCTTACTAAGACTAAACACTTAGATTTTTCAAGCTTGACTTTTTACAATTTGAACTTTGTTGCTGAATTCAATAAAAATATATTTTAGGTGAAGAGGTGAGATTTCACCTCTTTTTTCACCTCTTTTTTCACCTCATGAATTTTCATGATTTCATCGTAAATGTTTTGTCAAACATGAACGTAAATGTTTTGTCGAAACTTCATCGTAATGAGCGTAAATCAGACAAAAATATATTTTAGGTGAAGAGGTGAGATTTCACCTCTTTTTTCACCTCTTTTTTCACCTCATGAATTTTCCCGAAATAAAAAATAAAGTTGGTTTTTTTAAAAAAATATTTTTTTATTTTTATTGTAAGAACATGTTAGCAACAACAGCACCAAACTCTTTAGTCATGAACCCAACTTCAATGTTAGTAGAGATGAAAAGCTTCATTCCTTCTTCATATACTTTCGAAACAACAATCCAGAAGATAAAGCAAGAACTTCTCCAAGGAGATTTAGACTGTAGTGCGAAAGATGAAACAAATGAACAGTATCTTTATGAAATGCAGGATATTATTGACCATCTACCTAAACTTCCTGAAATACAACAACAAAAGCTTACTATTCCTGAATTCGATGAAATAGAAGTCAAAGCAACTGACTCGGTAGAAATAAAGAAGTTCATACGAAAGGTAAACTATGAGTTTCTTGGATTTCATTGCAACCACAAAGTCATGGACAAAGACTGCGATATGGTATATAAAAATGTTTCTGACATATACAAATCTGGAATTTAAGACCTACGACAACTTTGTTTCGTTAGTTGCAAAATGTGTATGGCAGATAAGAGATAAAGATAGAAGAGGTAAGTATGGAATGAACAAATAAACCCAACTTTTGAGTTAAAGAGAGCAATTGACGCCTTAGTTGTTTAGCAGGTAAGGTTTCAGAATATAACGCAAAAATGAACCCGCAATGTTCAAAATGTAAAGCAGCAATGAGGAAATATAACTACTCCGTCAAAGAGATAGAACGTATGCGAAACGACTATGCTGACTTAAAGAAAGAAGTAGAGAAACCAGCAGAAGATAAAATGGACATGTTACATTTCTGAACAAAAACTATCCAACTGCTGACGATTTCCTTCTATCTGACGTCAAGAAGAAGTATAAAGAAACTTTCGGTATCGTTAAAACATTCGATGTACTGACAGAAGAAATAGAAGCTACGAAATTGTTTAGGATTTCAAATATACATCATACAATTCATGTAAAACGCTTATAAAATAACAGGTGAAAAAAGAGGTGAAAAAAGAGGTGAAATCTCACCTCTTCACCTAAAATATATTTTTATTGAATTCAGCAACAAAATTCTGAGTAAAATAATTTTTAGGGCTTGTGTCAAACCGTTGAGTTTTCACAAAATTTAAAAAATAACGTTTACCATGTGAAACGCTTATAAAATAACTGAGGTGAAAAAACAGGTGAAAAAAGAGGTGAAATCTCACCTCTTCACCTAAAATATATTTTTGCTGAAAAATGACCAAATTTCATGAAATTTCTCTAGACCGACTTTTACAGGGGTAGCCAAAACTCATGAAAATCGTGAAAAATAACAGAGTATTTTGACAACTTCAAACAAGTAGAGTAGATGAACTCTTTATTTTTCAAGCTTGACTTTTTACAATTTGAACTTTGTTCGCGTAGATGTGAATTCTGAAAGAAGTATGAGGGTCTTGTATGACTTTGTACTTCTCCCAGAGTTCATGTCTGTCAAACTTACCTGCCATGGACTCTTTCATAAGTTCCATGAAATCGTCTTCGGACAATCCAGGGAAAAGTATGATATCAGTAAGTATTCTTTTAACATCCTTACTTAAACTCTTTGCTGTCTGTACACAAATGACAACTGAGATGTTAAAGTGTCTGAGCTTCTTAAGAATTCGACACATATCTTGTTCTCTGTTCTTTAACAAAGGATGAGAGGCGAAATCATCTAAGATAAGAAGACATCTGTGAGGGTAAGTCTTCCAATCGTAAGATTGCAATTTCTTCGAAATGTATTCTATCTCTTTCTGTTTGTTTCTGAAGTGTTTCTTCTCTAATATTCTCTGCATTTCCTCATTTGGGTCTTTAAACTTCGAATTGACATACTCATTTATAGCATTGTACTTCAAAACTCTTCTTTGGTACTTCTTTATCCAATCTAACAACTCAGAGTCTTTTATACATACTAACTTAGACTTCTTTATAATATCTTTGAACGAATTGACGGTTTGGTCAAATTGACCAGAAGTACTACAAATGACAACTAACTCATAGAATGGGTTCTTCTCATCTAGTTCTTGTTGTTGTGCAGCCATTTTAAGATAAGTGAAAGTCTTACCCGACCCAGGTGGTGCAATTAGACCTGTTATACCATTCTGAGCAAATAAGAACTTGTCATGTATGGGTTTTATCTGAGCATTTTCTAACTTCCTCTTGTTCTTATTTAAAACATTCTCAAATTTTTGTCAATGTCAGCAAACTTTTTTTCTAACATATTTTTAGAAAAATTAAAATTTTTATCTTTTAGAAATGTCTAGCGATTTCGCTATCTATATTCGAGACAAGCTTTTCGACAGCAAAAATCTGTCGACCATAAAATCTTACATAGTGTAAACAAGAAAGGTGAATTTGTTCTAAAGTTCTGTTTCTGGGAATATGACAAGAACCATAAAACATTACAAAGAGCAGTCTTAAAATTTGTCAATGACAGACTTGTTGACAGAGATGACGCCGATTGGAAAGATGAAGTCCAACAAAAGTTCTTAGAATGCAAAGAAGGCACATGCGCTGTTCTTGAAGATGAAATAGAAACAGAATAGAAGAGCTATTAAAGGACAAAGAACTTTTACATAAATATGGTTCTGAGAAATTTGACATAACTCCACCAGAAAAGAAGAAGAAGAGAGAAAAGAAAGAAAAGAAAGTAGAAGAAGAGAAGAAAGAACCTGAACCAGTTCCAGAGAAAAAGAAATTTGACATGTAAAAATAAAATTTTATTTTTAGAACATTTCTGGGTCAATGTCAATGTTCTCTTCCTCTTTAGGAGCAAACACTGGCTTAGACTCTAAAATCTTTTTACCCAATTTACCTTGAACTTCAACTATCTTAGACTCATAATATTCATAGTCGTCTGCTTTCTTTGGTTCATAAGGTATAACAAGTTTGTATGCTTTGCCTTCTTTAAGGTTTGAGAACCTTCTGTCAAAATTTTCTTTGACTGCTAACAAACCTTCTATGTCTAAGTCTTCAAATTTCGCACCATTTTTAGTCACAATAGCAAACTTAACTGGTTCGATGTTCCAAACTTTGTCAAATGTAGACTTTTCAAAATGGTAGAAGTAAACATTCAAATAAGCGAATGGGTCTAGTTCTTCTTTAAGTCCTGACATGTACTTGTTGACTGAGATAATTTCGTCATCTTTTCTATCGGATAAAAAAATATTTTTTTAAAATTTACTCATAAAAAATTTTTCTTTGTATATACGCCGTTCTGTATGTCTAAAAGATTTTTGACATTTGCCAAGAATGTTCGTTTAGAAGCTGCATATAACCATATTCTTGACAATATTGTTTATACGAGTCGTACAAAGACCTTTCATCTAAACACTCAAAGTTAGTCTCATCTATAAACAGTTCATATACACTCTTGTTTGCTTCTAACAATGTTTGTCTTTCTTCGGTATGTGGAATTTGTCTTGGATTGAACTTAGAAATATCTAATGTCATAAAATATGAGAACAAGTGGTTGTAAAAGTTAGGTGTCAAAGTTTCTGCTAAGTCGTCAAAATATTCTGTATCTTGCATATGAGAATCTGACGTTCTGACAACTACATATCTTCTGTCAGAACTTTCTAACTTCATCGGAACAGCGTTGTTTGAAAACCAATGACGAAGTTTGCAACATTTTCACAAACTCTTTGGTCTTTATATTTTCTTTCAACAACTCCAACTTTGTCTGTTATAAGACTCTTCAAAGCATCTGAGTTCAAAACTTTTGTTGTATCTATACTTTGAAGTTCGTTACATACTATAAGTTTCATATTCTCTATTGAAGAGTTAAATTTACCGCAGATGTTTTCTAAGTTTGTCATATTAGGGTTCGAATAGCCCTCTAACAGTTTGCACAAAATATCTGTAAAGAAAGTGTTCTTACCAGTTCCTTGTTTTCCAATTATGATGAGAGCAGTTTCATTTTTAGCACTTGGATGTTGTAAGATGTTTGCAAACCAACATAAGATATACTCATAGACTCTTTCGTTTCCATTGCATATAATTTCTTTGACATGGTCTAACCAAGCTTCTATAACATTTTCTTTCCATTCTACTTGTTCGTATTTATATCCAGTGAAGATAGAATAGAAGTTTGGAGATGGTGTATAGAACTTTATACCTCGAACTGAAAAATCTTCTAACTTTGACAATAAGATATCCCAAGCATCTAACATCTTCATGCCAACTTGTACGACTTTTATTTTCTTAAGTTTTTGTCTACATTCTTGTTCTGAAACTATTGTCGCTCTTGGTTTGTTAAAGACAACATCCCATTCTTTCATGACATAACATTCTGGGGCAGAGTCAACATAAATGACTAAACGTTTCAAATTCTCGACTGCTTTGTTATAGTCTCTAAATGGACACATATTTCTGAAGGCTTGGAAGTCATAAAAATCTGAAACGTCTATTCTGTACATTTTTATAAAAATAAAAAAAAATATTTTTTTATTCTTGACTTTGTTGTTGCATTTGTTCCATTTGTTGCATTTGTTGTTCTTGAGCTATTTGTTGTTGAAGTTGTTCTTGTAGTACAATACTTTCACCAGTTGCATCTTCCAATTCGAAACTTTCTGCCGTCATTGACAAATACATAGGACATAAAAGTTTTACAGGAACAAAGTTTGCGTCGACTAAGGTTAAGTTTATGTTTGCTAAAGTGTTTGAGTTTACTAAAGCTGAAAACTCTGCATTCGAATGAACAATAGGCAAACCAGCAGAGAAAGTGTTGTTTATACGCATGAGTATTTTTGGTCATAGTAGTTTCTGTCGACATTCGAATAGCACTTTGAACCTAAGTTTGAAACAATATATAAAATAGGTGTACTTAAAGTCAATGGAACAGACATTCCTTGTATGACACCTTTTCCTGTTATAGGAAACTGTTGGTAGTAAAAACCAGATATAAGTTTTGTATTATAGCTCATATCGTTTATAGTAAACTCAGTCGGACATCCAAACATAATGAAACCTGCTCTAGTTGCAGCACATGTTACATCCGTCCTTAAAGTATTAAATAAGTCAACAAAACCTGTTGGTGGTATATCTGAGTAAGTATCTTCAAAGAAGTATTTTTTACCATTCACAACAACAAAGTCTTCTGGTGTCAAAAGAGCAAAACAGGCTTTAGTCGTCATTGTGTTTAAGGTTAGTTTACAATATCGTCCTTGAGGACTTTGTAAGTTTGTTGTTATAGAATTATATGACTCAGGGTTTTTAGTCGTAATAGTATAAACCACTATGTCTTCTGCCATTTACTTAGCAAAAAATTTTAATGAAATGTTGTGGTCGTCAAATATTTTTATGACGTCTGGGAAACTATATTTTAAGTTCAACGTTTCACCTCCTTTCATAACGTATATCTTGTCAATGACATTATATGAAACACCACAGCAAGCAATGTCGGGTTCTATTTCTTTGATGTTTATATCGTCTGCCTCTGTCAAAAGTTTCAATAGTTCTTTCAAAATTTCATGAGGTGCGATGACATATGAGTTCACTTTTACAGGGTTGTGTTCGACCAAGTTTAACATTATACCCAAAGCTTGACAAATCTTCTCCTGAGTTTTAAGTTTGTCTTTAAGTTGTTGGTAGTCGTTTCGAATATCTGCAACAGAACTTAAGTCTCTGCTAACTTCAGGGTATGTTGGTTGTTCTTTTACAGGAACTATTGTTATACCATCTTCGTCTTCGTATGGTTTCCCCACTTCAACATCTCTTTCTTTGACATTGACAACAACACTTTGACTGTTTGTTTGAGTTGGTGAATTTAACTTCACATCTGCCACCGCCATTAAACCTTTTGAAACACTTACGCTTCTATTTTTCGGAAATGACATTTTACTTAGAATAAAAAGATGGACGTATTTGAGTATCTCTTCGAATTGAAGCAAAACAAAGTTTACACACACAAACAATACAAGTTCATTGACAGATAGTTCTTTATACAAACAATGGAAAATGTTATAGAATAGCAGTCTTTGCTGAACCAAAATATTTTCATAAAGCAAAGAAAGTTGGTATAACCGAGATGGTGAAAGTTCTTGAAGCAGACAAAAATATAACAACAAAACTGACCGATATTTCTAAAGGTAAGTTTATAATACAATATTATATCAAAACTGGCGTACTGTCAATATTTGACGGAGAGAAGTCAGTTCAAGAACAACTTACTGACCTGCTGCCAAAATCTGCTCGATGGAAGCTGTCGTTATACCAATCTGAGGAGCCCCAGCAGGTTTCATCGAACGAATTTCAAAAGAGCATCTTCCGTGAAAAGTGCTATTGGTTTTGTAAACTTCTTTGCTTTCAATTCATTTGGACCGTCTCTGTCACCAGTATATTGTATTTGAACTGTACCAACAGTTGAAATACCACCCATAAAGTCTTCTGAGTCAGCAAATGGAATGCCAAGCCAAAAGTTTGAACGGTCTCCATTTGTATATTGAGTTTTTGAGCTCCTGTATGAGTCCATACTTTCACATATGGCATAATAGAACTTTGCATTTCAGGGTTAATGGTTGTTGTGAAGTTGTTGTTAAAGTTCATAGCATCTAATGTCAAGTTGTATGACCTCATATCCTCAACTGTAGAATATTCTTCTCTTGGATAGTATTTGCCATCTATGTTTATATGGTATTTAATACCAGGGTTGTAGAAGCAAGAATAGTCATTTATAGTTCGTCTGAACAGTACAAACATAGTATCTGCATGTTTCATTGCAGTTGTTAAGGCAATATCTGTTCTTGCACCTGGGTCAGCACTTTGGTTTCCAACTTCACCTGCAAAGTCTTTGACAGATATTTGGTGTATAGGGAACATAAGTGGAACTGCAATATATTTGGCAGCTAAAGCATTTGAAATATCTGGGTCCAACATATAGACTGCAAGTCTGCTTTCTATTCTCTTGCATTCAAACTTTTCGCATGTGAACTTAACTGGGTCCCAAGCAGTTCCAGCAGCATTGAAGTAGTAGTTTACTTCAGTGTTGAGGTTTGAGAAACCAAAGTCTAAGTCAACTTTGTCTTTGCAAAATTCGGCGAATGACGTTTGATTTGCTCCCTTTACGTCTGTAAGAGTGAATGGGTCTTGTGTTGGTGCAATGACTAAGTTATTTTTGCTTGGAGTAAGTTCGATAGAAATTTTTCCTGCCCAGTTTGGCAAGTATCTTAAAAACCTGAAGATGAGGAAAGATGACAAAGGAACTCTAAGTTTCATTTTACTTTGGTTACTGCTGCTGCAGTTTGTCCAGAAAGGTTAACATAAACTCCTGGAACGTTAGGGTCAAGTCTTCTTATTTTCTCAATAGTTGCATACTGGTCTGTTTGTTCTCTAGCTTGTGGTTGTACTGAGTTTCTCAAAGCGAACCATTCATAGTTTGCCCATGTTACTGTTTGAACTAAGTCAGAGTTAGAATATATCTTATATCCCATGAAAACTTCTGGAGCATATTGGTATCCGACATAGAAAATTCCATTGCAACCTTTCTTGTCAGACAACTTGGCAGAAGGTTTTATTTCAATGTCTTGTTCCACGTATAAGAAAGAGTTGTCAATAGAAATTATATGAAACCTGTCGCAAGCAATATCTACTGTTGTTGAAGAACCTTCTCCAAACTCACCTACGTTTCCATAAGAAACAGCAGTTGTATATTCGTAAGTTCCAGGAACTATTTCTGACCTTCTAATGGCATTGTCGCATTCGTTATACCAT